GCAGGGGTGGCAGGGGTGGCAGGGATGCGTAGGGATGCCTGGAATGACAGGGATGGCAGGGGGTGGCAGGGATGGCAGGGATGGCAGGGATGGCAGGGATGGCAGGGTTCCACGTGCCCAGAGGACCTCCCCAAACCTCACGCAGCCCAGCCCTGCCCACTGCACAACAGAGTGCCAGGTGCTGCTATGACATCCCTGTAATTAAGATCTCATTGTAATCACAAGATGTACTGTGGGATAAAGCAGGCTGGATACACAGCTTCCACTTGCCAGTGAAATAGAGAGAATGAAGAGTACGTTTCCCTGCAAAAATTCATTTTACAGAAGGATGAGTGGCACAAAAATAAAAAGAGGGCTTTGTCTTCACTATTTTAAAATTATGAAAGTTTTCATTGTTTTTTGCTGTTTATTCTGCATTTATTTGCAAGATTCCTAAAAGTAACACTTCAGATACACAGTGGACTCCCAGTGAGTGTTCAACATCGGGACCTGGTATTAATCTCCAGCAGCAGGAGAGCAATATAATAGGACACAGTTAGTAAACCTGCTACAACACCCTCAAATGGGGGGAAGCCAACAAAATAATTCACATTTTAAGTCAACCTCTCACTCTTTAGCTCCATGTTTTCCAGCTTCATGAATATCAACAGGGACATTTAACTCCAAGAATGACTCTCTTCAACACAAAAGGCCTATGAAATTATTTTTTAAATCTCGTAACAGCAAATGTGTCAGGGCAGTATGACAAGATCTACTTTCTACCAGTGTATCTCTACACACTGGCATAATTAATAGCATTTCTTTACCCACTGTCTTTCTGCAATCTAGCTTGGAAGAAGCACCTCAGTAACTGGTGTAGAAACATTAAATTGTGGCCACAGAAACCACAAGTTTGCTGCCACAAAATGCCAAGAGTTACATCTGTCAGGAAGGAGAGTTCCAGCTTCGCTCCAAAGCCACCCCCCAGCTGGGCTGCCAGGAGGGGTGAGGCCCGGGCAGGGACAGAGGGGCACCAGGAGCTGCACGGGGCACGGCGGGCAGGGCAGGAGCCAAGATGAACAGATGTGGGCATTTGGAGCAGCTCTGGAGCCACAGAGGGGCCTGGCAGGCGGCACAGAAGGGAAGGAGGCAGAGCCCATCCAGGAGAGCTCCGAGCATTCCCAAGGATGGGATGGACCTGCCAGGAACAGCAGGGAGAGAGGGGCAGGACAGCGGGAGGGATGGGAGGACTCGGGACGAG